AGAGTGCGGATGGCTGGGTGGCTGCTGTGGAGCTGGCTGCGGGCCCCCTGCCTCTGAGCTGTCCCCGTCCAGGTCGATCGCCTCGTAGTTACTCAGGCCGAGCTTGAAATCACCAGGCATGGTGATCTCGTTGAGACCCTCATCAGCTGGGCCTGCTGCTGGCTTAGCTCCTCTTGGCAGCTTGCCCCTCTGCATGTCCGCCAAGACCCGACGCCCTGCTGCTGTTGGGGGCTGACATGGCCTGGCCAGCTTCCTTGCCACTCCTGCCACGATCCTGCTCTTGTGGTCCCCGAGGTAGCTGGTGCCGCCACATTTCCCGCACCAGAGCCAGCCATGGGAGATCTGCGTCTCGTGGGAGAAGTGCACCACCTGCGTGCCGATCTGCACGCCTTGAAGTCGAGCCTGACGTTGCCGTGCTGGTCCTGGTCGCCGCCGTACTTCCCGAGGCACTCTCCCCTCTCTGCCAGCCAGTCTCTGATGCTTTGTCCTTTGGCTGGGCCACTGCGACACGTTGCACACCACCATCGCGGATGTAGCTTGCGCAGGTCGTGTCCCAGCTGGGCTGCCCTGTCCCTCGCCGCCTGCGGCTTTCGGCGCTTGGCCTTGGGACGCTGAGGGGCCTTGTTGGGGTCCTCCACCGTCACCGCCATGTTGATGGCCAGCAGCCGGTTTTGCACCGCCGTGGTGAGCTGGTCCCTGATCTGCTGCTGCTCGATGATGGCTGGATCCAGTGCTCCATGCTCCGCTCCCCAGCCTGCGCACTTGTCTGCCATCTCGTTTCCTATGACCCACCAGGTGGGACCATTCCACCTCTCCAGCTCGGCTGGGTGCTCGATCAGGTGGCTTGGGATGTGGTGGCCCATGATGGTGTCCGTGCTGTTCTGCAGCTGCTGCTTCGTCTGGAGCCAGAGGTCGTAGTTCGTGCTCCTGCAGCCCAGGTCCTCGGGATCCTGGATCTGCTTGAGTGCGTCCAGGGCGCACTTACAATCGCTGACTATGTTGAGCCCCCTGACTGTCGCCGCCGTGGTGTACCCGATGGCTTTGCTCATAGCGGTGAGCTCTGCCCGTGGCACCGTGTGCGGCGCCCTGATCGTGCCGTACCAGGCGGCCACTTCCTGCGGGCGTCCGTGCTCGTCGAACCTGAAGGCCACCACTGCCCAGCCGCAGCGTCTGAGGCGGGGGTCATTGGCCGTTGCCCCTGCACCACCTGAGCCGTCCGTGAAGACATAGTCTGCTCGAACCTTGTGCCCTGACTGGGCTGCCGCCTGAGCCTCTTCGCTGGTGCAGAAGATATGCGCCGCCTTCGCCGCGTCCTCGTCTGGGTCGACCTTGGCTGCCCAGGCCGCTGGCGGGATGCCACGGAGCCAGAAGTGCAGGTCCTGCCGCTGGTCCAGCGCGTCCTTCGCCTTCTTCGCCAGGTCGGTGTCACTGCTGTGCCCTATCTTTGCGTTGGCAGGGCAGGCGTAGTAGCGGTGTTCCTCTGTCTCTATCGCCTCGCCGCATCTCGCGCAGGTGTCGTCGCCTTCTTGGTTGAGGTTGGCCGCCCTGCGACGCTCCCTGGTCCAGATGCCCGCCACCGCTATGGTCTCCAGCATGGCTGCCTCTGCATGCTGTCCTTTGCGCCTCCTCCTCCTCCTCAGGTGGCGCTGCAGCTGATAGAGGTCGCCACCTGCCTGAAGTCCTTCTCCACAGCGATGGCCAGCTGCCTGCTGCCAGAGCTGCTGCTGCGCGCTCTGCTGGACTTCGTGCAGGAGCGCGCCGAAGTGAGGAATGTCATCTGGCTTGTAGGCCCACTCGTCACCTGCTGGGCTGATCCAGCTGTCCAGGCGTCGCGGTATCCAGCCTAACCCAAGCAGCTGCACGATGACCCCTGCCATGGGCCCCATTGACCTGCTGCCACCTGCGGTTGGGTTCCAGGGCGTCCAGCATGGCGTAGAGCAGGAGCCAGACTCTCTGGTACCTCTTGAGCTCCGTCGGGTGGTCGACTATGGTGAGCCAGAACTGCTTGATCTGGTCGCCGATGGCTCGGGTTACCGCCTCTTGCATTCCCCTCTGGATCAGGAGGATGGTGGACGTGCAGCGTCCAGCCTTGTGTCCGCCTGTGAGGAGCGCTGCCTCCGTGGCCCTGACCGACTTCGCCTCCGTGGGCGTGATGCCGTGCGCTGGTAAGTCCCAGGCCTGCTGGCAATAGGCCCCTGCTGAATAAACCTTTGCCGCGCCTCTGGCGTCCGTCTTGGCTAGGTCCTTGAGCTTGGCCACCCTCTGCTTGGCCTTGGCCTGGCGCGCGGCATGGGCGGGTCGCCGCAGCTGCTTGCCGAGGCTGGTGTCCACGCCGAGGTCGCGCACTACACCTGGTTGCTTGTTGGGAGTGCCCAGGCTGTCCAGGATGCCGGCGACTTCCGCCTGGAGGTCCTTGTCCGAGGCCACCACTGCCGTCTTGACGGAGATGGGTATCGAGAGCTGCTTGAATCCATCGTGCACCAGCGCTGCCACGTACTTGACCTGGGCAATGACCTGCCGCCGCGCACCCTCTACCTGCAGGGCCAGGTCGTCCAGGTACTGCTGCATGACGACGAAGATGTAGTGCCTGCGCGCCGCATCCAGGATGCCATACAAGGGCGGTCTGGTGAGGTCGACCGCTTGGCCACAGCCGGCTACCATGCTGCTGGCAGGCTCGAAGATGTCCGAGAAGAGGCTGTGGGCCATGATGGCCCTGGGCGCAGGGTACATCTGCACGGCCATTGCCAGCGGCAGCAACGGGTACTGGAGGGCGCTGGCCTTCTCGATCAGCTGGTCGAGGCCTATGTTGTCGTAGAAGTTTGCCGCGCCCTAGAAGACTCCTGCTGCATGAAAGCCCATCTCCGTGGCGGCTTCTGCCCTCATCGGTCTGTGCATTGCCACTCGTAGCGCTGAGGAGCCAGCTACTGCCGTGTCCCAGAAGCCCGCCGCTGCCTTGCTCCAGGTGGCTACTATGGGCCTCCTGGCTGCGCTCCAGATGCGGTACGGCATGGGCATGAGGCCGACGGGGCGCTCGCCGCCGATTCCTGGCTTCTTGCCCAGCAGCAGCTCCAGCACCAAGTAGAATTGCCACGGCCACGCTGCCCGCTGCTCACAGCTGGTCAGGCACTGCACGAAGTCTTCCAGCCCCTGGGCGCCCATGGCCTTGAGATCAGGAGCCCTCCACCAGTCCGCTCCTTGGCCAGCATTGCGCTTCAGGTGCTGGATGATGGAGCCGATGATGTCCTTGCTGATGGGCTCGAGGGCATTCTCTTGGGCCAAGGCAGCCTGCCTCAGCTTGGCCAGCGCCTCTTGGATCCTCTCGGCCTTCTGTGCATCTCGTGTCCACCTGCGTTGCCATGCCTCTTTGCGCAAGTCCACCAGCTGCTGCGGGTGGTTGATGACCTGGCCCTCGTGCTCAAGGATGTCCTCCAGGTGGCTGCGCTCCGCTGCCTTGGTGTAGGCGTGGGCCATCTTCGCACTGCCTGCCGTGGCGTCGTGCACCCAGTGGATGTACGCCTTCTTCACCGCCTTTGTGAGTAGCTTGGCCATGCTCTTTACCTCCTCTGCTACCCTACTGATCGTCCCTGGGTCCACGAGCGCGCCCTCTGCTATCGAGTGCAGGTATGTGAGGAGGGCCTGCTGCTGGTCCTTGGCTGCACCTTCTTCGTTCAGCCTGCCTGGGTCAGGCTGGTTGAGCTGCTGTGTGAGCTGCCGTCTTGTGTTGATATGCTGCTGCGTCTGGTGGCCGCTGTGGGTGCGGACCTGCAGCTCTCGCCGGCTACTCGGGCCACTGCCTGCTCCTGGAGCGTCATGAAGTTGTCCTCGAGCTGCTCCTTCTGGTGCTCGTTCGCCAATAACCTCTCGCACCAGCCTCCGCAGGTCAGCTAGCTCCCTTCAATGCATCATCTCCAACTCGTGCCTCCTCATCGGCTCCTCTCGCGCAAGACCTTGGAGAAAGCCTCGGCGTCGTGGTTCTGCATGTCTCCATGCTCGCTCGCAGAGGTCCCTGATGATGTGGCTGAGGCCGGCCTGCTGGTACCAACGCCTGAGCAGTCTCACCATGCCATTGTTGCCTCCACCACCCAAGATGGTCTCCAGGAACGGCACACAGATCTGCATCCAGTTGCTGTGGTCCGTGGGAAGCTGCACCAGGTTATCCATCCAGATGGCCGCCCAGCGCTCCAAGTCGTCTCTCATGGCCACGTAGTCTTCCCGCGCCCGCTGGTACTGGTCATCATTCGAGAAGTCTGGTGGGGGCAGGCCCATATCACGTGGCTCCTCTGGCCCTGGCGGCGCTTGGTCCTGACTCCCCAGGTGATCGGTACCCTCTGCCTCCAGAGTGCCAGCTGGCTGAGGAGGTGAGCAGTGCGTGTCACCTGGGGCAGTTTTACCAGATCCAGCTGCATGGCGACGAACGGTCTGGCCGTAATCGATGCTGTCCTGCTGCCCCTCGATGTGCTGGTGGTACCCGTCGCAGTCCTCCTGATCTGCGGTCTCCTGGCGATACTCCGAGTAGTCCTCCTCATCCTCAATGGGGTCGTGGTCTTGGATGTCCATGGCGCTGCGTCCTGCTGGTGGGGGAGGGGCAGATCCAGTTGCACGACGACGAACGGTCTGACCGAACTCGAGGCTGTCCTGCTGCCCCTCGATGTGCTGGTGGTACCCGTCGCTGTTCTCCTGATCTGCGATCTCCTAGCGGTACTCCAAGTAGTCCTCCTCATCCTCGAAGGGGTCGTGATCTTGGATGTCCATGGTGCTGCGTCCTGCTGGTGGGGGAAGGGCACCCCTCTGCATCCCTTCTGCGTAGCTGTCTGCGCTGCTGTGGGTTGGTCCCACGTCGAGGTCTGGGACGCGTCCCGTGGCGGCGCACTTGGGGGACGGGAACCCCTGACCCATCTCAGAGCAGGGGCCAGCTGCCTTCCCATGGTCAGCTGCGCTCGCCTGTGTGGGGGATGGGTACCCCGAGAAGAGTGAGGGGGGGCCTACCTCTTTCTCTAGGCCGGGCCGCCTCGCCCTCATCTCTTGGAAAGATGCACCCGTCTCAGAGGTCCAGGACGCGTCCTTTGGCGGCGATGCTGGGCTGAGGCAGGGACGCTCTGGGCTCTCTTGGGCTGGCCCCTCTGCGAGCTCCTGGACCTCAGCCTGAGGAGGGGAGACCTCCTCAAGTGCTGGCTGATTCGCGATGTCCTTGGTGCTGCTGCCGCCGCCTCCAGCTGCGCCTCCACTGCCTGCACGCCGCTGCTGCAGCTCGGGGGGGCCCTCGCCCCGCTCGGTGGGGGCGCGATCCATCGAGCTTCCTCCCGAGCTCTTCGATGGGCTCATGGCTGGTGCGGGAACCCCGTCATCGTGGCATATCTGGCTGTCAGACATGACGGCGCCAAGCTCAGGCGCCGACGGGCCCTGTCCACCACCTGAGTCCTCATCGGGAAGTGCCTGGGTCTTGCCCTGGCGACTTGCTGCTGCCTCCTGCGCTCGGGCATCACGGTGCGAGAGCTGCCGCACCAAGGAGGAGATCTCCGCCCACCACGCGTGGATCTTCCTCTCGACCCCTGCCCATGGCGTAGAGGTGACGGCGTCCCTGATGCTCACGCTCTTGTAGATCGGGGGCCGGCTGTGCCCGAGATGTCGTCCACGCTCTTCCTCTGGGATGCCGATGCTCTCGCACAGGCTGAGCTCGAGGGTGCCTGCGACACGGTCGTACTGCTGCCCCAGGTCCAGCATGTCCCGCTCCATCATCTTGCCGACGACTGCGTGCTGCAAGTGCTGGGGCAACTCGTCGTAGGCGCGCACGCTGACCCGCTCGGAGGTGGCCTGCCACAGCTCGTCGGGGATGACGTGCTGGACCTCCTTGTCGTAGCACAGCTGCGGCACTGGATCCATGTCGTTCTCGTCCTGGTCGCATCCTGCCTCTGCCAACGCTTGCTGACGTCGGCGCATGGCCTCCTGGCCTCCGCGCGCCGCTCGTCTGCAAGCGGCTCTGGACTTCGGCATTTTCTCGACTGTGACTGGCGGCTTTATGGCTGCTGGCCTGCGAAGCACCCTGCCCTCGAGCATGAGAGGTCGCCCCTTCAGCTCCAAGCGGATACCGATGTGCGGCTTCCACGGCACGGTCCTGAGCAGCTCCAGCTGGTCGAAGTACGGCGCCAAGCCCTGCGAGATCAGCGCGAAGTCGATGCACCTGGCTTCACCTTCTACTGGGAAACATGTGGGGGCGCCATCCTCCGCCGCTGCTACCTGAGCATTCAGCACCCTGGGCCAAATGCTGTTGTTGAACTCTGACGGCGTCATGTTGAAGTCCCCAAGCGCTGCCCAGGGCCCTCCCCAGACGGTCATCTTCCCCCGCAGGTCGCAGAGGATGTCGACGTTCCGCTCTCCAAAGCCCGTCCCACACTCAAGGTAGACGAAGGCCACTGCGAAACGAACCTTGTGCAGGTTGGAGATCACCAACGTGACGTCACTGCCGTCCTCGTGCAGGTAGCGCTCATCAAAACCCGCGATCCTGTCCTGGATGTCCAAGGATCCTCGCGCGATGGCACACGTGCCTCCTCGCGTGCCTTCTCCTTCTCCGGGCCGTGTCTTGGTCCAGTAGCTGTGCATGCCATTCCGCCTGAGCGCCGCTCTCGCCTTGCTTATCTGCGCAGGCTGGCGGAGGTGGTGCTCTGCGATGCCGATGATGTCCCTGTCCTTGGTGTCGTTGATCTCCATGAGGTAGCCCTGTGCCTGGGGGCCCCAGGTCGTGAAGTTGAAGAAGTCGATGTGGCAAGGGCGGCGAGCCTTCTTCGCGCTCGCCTTGGGGCGGCTACCCTGCTGAGCGGTCACCTTGCCCTTCTGCGTCGACGACTGTCTCGGCACGCCTAGCCTGCGAGACCTTCTCTCGCGCCTCCTGGATGTGGGCCTCCACTCTGGCTCGGCGTTCTTCTGCTCTGTCAGGTTCTGCTGCGGCTGCTTCTGGTTGGGCAGCTGCTGCGGCGCCGGTGGGCGCAGCCGCGGCGGCTGTCCCTGCTGCCTCAGCGCCAGTGGTGGCACCTCGCTGGGGAGCTGGGCTGGCGGCGCAGACTCGCTTGCCTGGTGGAGCTTCTGTTGCTGCTGGGTCTTGCACTCCGCTCTTTGACAGGCGCTTGGTGCGAGCCTGCTCGAGCTGGCGCAGCTGCTCCTGGTGCCTGGCCGTCTCTTCCTCCAGTAGTCGCAGGTGCTTCGCCGTCTCCTCCTCGTGCTCCTTGACCGTCTGGGCCATGCGCTCGCCCTTGGCCTTCGCTGCTCGCCAGACCTCCTTGTCGGGCTCGGACCACCTGCGGAAGTCGTCAGGCTCATGCTCGAACTGCTCCAGGAGGGCTGCCAGAGTTGGCTTCTCGGCTGCAGGTTCAGCTGGGGCCTCTTGCTTGCCGGCTGCGGCCTTGAGCTTGTCGAAGTCTTCTTCGGCTGCAATGGAGGCTTCCATGGCTTCACGAAGCTTGCGTTCACTCTCAGCCAAGTACTGCTGGGCACTCTCGACTTGCTCCCCTGCCGATCGTACTTTCTTCTGGAGTTTGTCCAAGCGTCGTGCTGCTGCTTCCACTGCCTTGAATCCGACGACTGGTTGGTCTGCTGGTGGCTTGGCTGCGGCGAGCTCAGGCCAGAGGGCCTCGTAGCGCTGCCTGAGCCTGCTGCAAGCTGCTGCGGCGGCAGCCTTGAAGTCGACAGTCTTGTCGTGAGGTAGTGGCTGGCGTTGGCCTCCTTGTCCTTTCCCGCCTGCACCACCACCTGGCTGCCAACCATCTGCCCAGCTGATCCTGGGCGAGGTTCCTCCTTGGGGCTGTGCTGCCAGCCACCCACCATCGTCGTCACGGAAGACATGACCGTCGGGGACGAGGCAGGCGAGGTTCTTGCCGCAGATGCAGAGGTCGCCCCTGCTGGTGATATTCCTGCAGTAGCGCCATCTGCTGCACCCGTCACACACCACGTAGCTGTTGCGAGGAGGGCGTCTGCCACTGCTGCTCCTCTTCCAGGGGGGAACCCTCTGGCCATTCGGGGTCCCCGACCAGGCGCTGCCCGCCCCGCGTCCGCCGCCGCCGCGCCCCATGGCTGCTGCGGCGCCGCGCGCGCGCCCGACGCCCGTCTGGGAACTGTCCTCGGTCCAGAGGCCCCCCTTCGGCCTGGAGGCTGGAGAGCCCCCCAGGTCATCATCTTGAACCAAAATGGCTACGAAGGAGGAGGAGGAGGAGGAGGAGGAGATGGAAGAAGAGGAGGAGGCCGATGGGGAGGAGGGGGGGGGGGGGGGCGAGGGGAAAGAGAGGGACGAGGGGAGGATGGGGGAGAGGGGGGGATGGGGGAGAGGGGAGGGAAGGGGGGGGGGGGAGAGACGGGAAGGGGGGGGGCGGAGGAGCATGCCGAGGAGGGGGGGGCGGAGGCGGAGGCGGAAGAGGAACGTCTGGGCAGGACGGATATCAAGCGCCACCGCCCGCCCCTCGCCAGGCCGCAGCGACGAGACGAACGAGAGAGAGAAGAAGAGGAACAAAATAAGAACAACAACAACAACAACCACAGCACCAACGACAACAACAAGAACAACAACAGGAACACCAACCACAACAGCAATATCAGCAACACCAAGAACACCAAAAACAACAACACCAACATCACCACCAACAACGACGCGACAACACCAACTACAACCACAACGACAACGGCAACAACAACAACAGCAGCAGACACGACAGCACAAATCTGAACTAAAGAACAGCTTGGGTACGAAAGGGTGTCGATGGTCTGATGTCGATATGCGATTGTTCCTATAGCCCTCCTCGTGCACATTTGCTCTTGTGGGGCTACACCCTGAACCCGAAATTCTGACCCCTAGGATCCGCAGCCAATGACGTTCACAGAGCGGACGAGATTTCAACCTGGTCTCGGCCCACGCCGCCCACTGACGAGTCGAGGCGGGGGGGCGCCGCCACGGCCGCCACGCCGCCGCAGGCGGCGGCCGCGGCCGCCACCAGCAGGAGTCGCCGACGTCGCAGGAAGCGACGTCGGCGCCGGCCTGCCACGCGCTCCCGCAAGCAAGAACCTGGCTTCATCCACAGACCCCATGTGGGGATTCCGCTGGCGAATTCAGATGTTGTGCTGCGCGATCGCTACACGACTCCGCGCCGCACTCTGGAATATTCTTGGTTGATGATGACCAGCCACCGCGCCTGATTCGAGATGAGCCGGCGCACGTCAAGCAGAAGATGGCGCACTTGGCTGTGCATTCTTGAATTGAGCGCGGTCAGAGACTGGGCGCGGGGACCGCTGCAACCGAGGTTGACGGAACGCGCGAAGGGCAGGGCTGCGGCGGGGTGGACCAAGGGGCGGGGATGCGAGCGCCTACGGCGTCCGCGGAGAAGGCGGAGCAGACGACGGACCAGCAGAGAGCGAGAAAGCGCGCGCGCGGACGGCTCGAGGGAACGGCTGCGCGGCCGGCGCTGCAGGCAATGAGACCGGCTCTCCAGCATATGTTCGGCCGCTGGGAGGGGCAGCGGCAAAGCTGGCGCGGAGCAAGATAGTGGAGGGGCGGGTGAGAAGGTCGTCTCGGCGGTTGCCGCCGAGCCGCGTTCCGCGAACACGCGCGCGCAGAGGAAGTCCGCCACGTCGACATCGGGGAAGGCGCGCGCCGTCGAGGCGCTGGCGCCGCTGGGCGAGTGGGCAACGCCAGCGGGCGGGGCGGCGGCGCGGCCAGTCCCGGAACGCGGCGGGCGGCGCGATTTGACCGCTGGAGTCAGCGGGAAACAATCTCTCCCAGAGGAGGGATCTCGAGCTCGCCGGGCGGCCGCGTTTCACCAAGCGGAGTGCGCGGGGAAGTGCACGGGGAAGACAGCGGCGCCGCTCCGGCGCAGGGGGGGGCCAGTGACGCGGCGAGAGCCCGACGCCGCTGGGCCTGGGCGCGCCCGAGATGGATGCGCGAGAATGTGATGATCGCTGCTGGCTTCTGCATGGTGACATGGGATCTCCCCCAAAAACTGAAGGTTGCAAATATTTGTTTGGTTCCAGCTCTGGTAGCAGACCGATCTCAGGCGTCTAGATACTTTGGACTAGCGCCCATGTTGATTTCCTGTCGATCGATGTGCTTCACATCTTTGAAGCTCACCTACAGATCGAATTAATGAGAGAAACAACAAACCTTCATTTCTCAAATTTTGCAGAGTGGGCATAAAATGTTCAGTCGCAGCTCTGGTAGCAGACCGATCTCAGACGTCTCGATACTGTGGGCGAATTTTCCTGATCATTTCCTGTTGAAAGGTGTGCTTCCCAGCTCCATAGCCTGCATACAGCTCGAATCGCCTCTCAAAAAATGAACGAGCGCAAATAATTGCTTGGTCGCAGCTCTGGTAGCAGACCAACCTCAGGCGTCTAGATATTTTAGACTAGCGCTTCTGATCTTTCCTGACGATTGCTGTGCCTTTCAGCTATGTAGCTGGTCTACAGCCCGATTTAAGTTAAGGAGCACGGCAGCACCTGCTAAGATGACATTCAACACCCGATCCCGCCTGAGTGCTTTTTGATAGTACTATCAACCCGATCGACCTGGTATCAAGATGGCGAGTCGCACTAAGATCAAAGTCCATCGGAAAAATGGTAGAGCTCTAACGGGTTGTTGAATTTCGTGAACATGAGTTTCAACCAACCAAGAATTAGCGAACTTTCCGTCTACATTTTTCGAGACAACTAGCCCGCCAGCGTTTTTCGAATTACTCATCAGCTTCGCCGCTTCGCTCTTCGGGAAGCTCTACGAGTCACTTCCGTCGAGATTTTTCGAGCCAACTAGCCCGCCTGCGCTGTGGAAATACTCTACAGCTTGGACGTTTTGATTACCTTCATTGTTTCACTCTCTCTTTTCCCTCGTCGCCGTTATCGTCGGACCGGCTGACCTCGCATTTGCGGCAACGCCACTGGCATCTGCATTATCACCCCCTCTGCGCGGGGGCTATCGTCCGCCGCTGACGGGCGCGACATCGCGCGCCTCCTCTCCTCGCCGCTGCCCACGACAGCGATCGCGCCAGCCAGGCACTCTGCCCTGAGACAAGCCGGACGCGGCCTCCAACTCCTCATTATTATGCTTGACGTTAGTGTTTGGGTCGAGCTTGCCATTGACGGCGCTCCCAGCCCATGACTATTCGCAGTCTGTAAATGTTTGAGAGGTGTTGTTTTCGCTACTTAATTCGAGCTGCAGGCGAGCCACGGAGCTGAAAGGCGCACCAACTGACAAGAAGTTGACAGGAGTGCTAGTTTTTCTAATATCAAAACGCTTCAGATCGGACTGCCACCAAAACTCGACCGGAAAACTAAATGCAGTCTGTAAAATTTGAAAAAGGCAATTTCGTTTTCTCTGCTCAACTCGACCTGCGGGCAAGCTACGGGGCTCGAAACCACACCATGCGAATGCAAAAAGTCAGACACGCTAGTCTGGACGCCTGAGACCGGTCTGCTACCAGAGCTGCGAACGAAAAAACTATGCACGAGCTGCGGGCAAGCTATGGAACTGTCAAGCCGTTTTCATAAAACCGCACATCCTCGCGCGCGGAGTGCGAAATCGCCACGCTCGCATGCTGCTCATATGCTGGGAGCCGGCGGTAACCCGTCAACCTTGGCCCCGCGGCCCCGCGGTCGGTCGGTTCGAGCCTCCACGGAGGCAGACCCACTAACAGTAGCAACTCAGAATCTAATCCGAGAAGCAAGCTCAGAGATACCCCGAAGAAGACTTTCAGCGGATGCTAACGCAGCCTGCGCAATTGCATAATGAGACGGGATCATAAACGCGCGGCGGCCGACTCCATTCTGCCACCAACAGTCCTGGAGTCCAGGGGGGGGAGAAGGAGGAAGGAGTAGGGATAACAATGAAAAGATCAATCACCCAGCCACATGAAACACCTGAATCACACTCACCACCATCAAAAGAGCCTCTCACAGCACGTACACACATCGAACTCGTGCTCAAAAAGTCAAGCAAACTATGATCCCACCGTATCAAAGAAGTCGTACCTCCTTCACGGGCAATACGTGTCTCAGTATCTGCCTCCTCGTTCCCCTCCCGATACACCCACTTCCAGATCTCCTTTCCCAATTCAGGAATTCAATCATTGTTCTGTATGCTCATATCATGAAGGCAGTCGTGCATGCTCTTGATGGCGCGCATATACATCGGCCCAATGAAAGTTCCTGGGATTTTCATCACGACGCTGGCCGGCGGAAGTCGACGGAAGTAAAACGAGGCGGAAGACGGGGGAAGGCCGCCGGAAGGCCTGCCAATGTCAACGGAAGTAAACGACGCCCCTTCCGAACCCCCTACCCCCGTAGAAGCCTAGCAATGTTGTCTTCCTCCGTGGGCCGGGCGGGATCCCGCCTGGCTTATTCCGCTTTACTATTATAAGCTTAGTTCAGGACGATCCAAATCCCACCCATTAAAAATGGGGTAGACCAAAATCCCAGGCCGTTCACGGATCCCACCATGCTGGGATCGGCTCGAAGTAAGATGGGGCTCATAAGTT